AGGTCTCGCTGGATGGCAGCACAGCCTGCCGGTGCATCCACCACTTCTCCCAGTTCTGTGTCACCAGCAAACTGGCTGAGGGTACGCTCTGACTCTTCATCCAGGTCATTAATGAAGAAAGACTCCATCAACGCAGAGCCCCAAGCTCCTATTGAGAAGCTGCTAAACACACCCACGTAGGGAAGATCTCTCCTGCTCTGAAGTTCTCCTGAAGCTCTGTATAGCTATATACGAGCCCCAGCCAGGCCAACGTTACCTTCACTTCTTTCTCGATGTAGTCGTTCAGCAGCACGTCCGGTTCGACGCGGTCGGGCAGGGACACCAGCACCGTATGCAGAGGCCGTCTCTCCGTAACCTTCTCCTGGGCTTTTTTATCCCGACCTTTTTCGCCCTTCAGGAAGACTCGTTTGAAAGGAGACACTATTCCAGGCTGCGGAGAGAAAGGGAAACGCCGGGGCGTCGGGGTTAAGGGCGAGAGAAGGAGTTTCTGCACCGGAATGGGGGGGAAACCGGCGGCACCCACTGCCCAGCGTGCCTCCAGCCTGTACATCCTGTGCTCTCAGGCTGGTTCTGCCAGCCCCACCACCCCCAAACAGGCTGGGTTTAGAGCTATGAATCCATGAGTCCACGATCTCCCACTGAAAACCACTTTCCCACAAGATATCGCAAGAACACAAGTACCAGTAAGCGCCCAAACGGGTCATTTTTCTCCCAAATTCACAACGTGCAACCTTTCAGGTGAGAAAAAATACAAATATATATTCAGATTCATCGCTGTAAGAGCAAGCCAGCCATGGCCAATAACCAGCAGGCTTCCTCCTCGCCGCAGCGCAGTTTTATACTTCACCCGAGCCTTCGCAGCCGGCGACTCGACGAAGGATCGCAAAAGGAAAAGGCAGAGATGCTGAGAACTTGTCTGAGGTCTCCGGGGAGGTCCACAAACATGAGTACATGACCCAGGAGATGGCCTCCCCTGGGAAAAAACAGGTCTTCGTGGTTCCCAAACCACTGACTGCTGGGTTTGGAAAAACATCGGACCAAGAGCATGCACACATGGGCACCCAGCTATAGAATCACAGAATCATTAAGGTTGGAAAAGACCTCAAAGCTCATCAAGTCCAACCATCACCCCAACACTCCCATGCCTGCTAAACCATGTCCCCAAGTGCCACATCCGCACGGTTTTTGAACACCAGGAGGGAGCACTGAACACCAGAGGGAGCATGGCCACCATCCTTCCACCTCGGCACGGGGCGGACAGCCCGGAACGCTGAGCAGACCCATGGTAGATCCCCACCAAGCTCCACACCAGCCTGCCCGACGGCTAAATGACCCGGAGCACACGCGGACTTCTCCGATTTACCAGCTCAAATGGGTGTTTTGAAGTGGGCAGATCCAACGCTTGGGATTCACGGCAGCGTTAAATGCCAGTCCGGAGGGGAAACCTGCCCGGCCACGCGGCTCCGATGCCCCACACACGGTCGGCTCCGGTCATCCCGTCCCACGGCAATAATGCTGTCTGCTTCCCACCCCTCAGGGCAACCACACTTTGGCTTTCCTGATTCTCACAGGAACGAAAAATGACTGTCTGATCTACAGAGGCAGAAAAGACGCTTTGAAATGCGAATTAATTCCATGCTCCTGCTCAGAAAGGAGTGGAGCACTCTGCTACCTCAAAGAGCAGCAGCCCCCTGCAAACCCAGCTCCATCTCGCCACAGACTCACAGAATGTTGGGGGTTGGAAGGGACCTCTGGGGATCCCCCAGCCCAACCCCCTGCCCAAGCAGGGTCACCCACAGCAGGCTGCACAGCACCGCGGCCAGGCGGGGCTGGAATATCTCCAGAGAAGGAGACTCCACAGCCCCTCTGGGCAGCCT